AATGTACCTAAAAGTGATAACCCTTGCCGTGGTCACACCACATTTAATGAAAAGATATCATAATGACATTCCCGAGCTCACTAAGAAGACAAATCGCTCACTTTGTACCAATGGTGAACCAAGAAACCCATGAAAAGCGAGAGGGAATATGCTCAATATGTCTTATAAGAAAAAAATCGACACACAAAAAAAGGGTGCAAAGTATGTGCTAAATTACTGTGCAACGAGCACTGTATTTACCTGTGTAAGGGTTGTTTTGACGGGGCATACGGCCAAGATGTCTAAAGAGTGTTTTTTGTCTAATTTCTTACGGTTTTGTTTATTATATAAGAGATTATGTGAAGTCGTTCCATTTTTTGTTACATTTTTTTTGAGAATAATTTGAAGTTGATTTTTTGAGACTGATTAAAAAGTGAATGTTTGATTTTTCTAAAGGCTTATGTTTTATTTAAGGTTAACCTTTTCTCATTTATAGTAAATTTAAACAATTAATATGTAATATTTTAGTTTTTCTAAGGGCGGCAAAATGCTATACACGCGCCCACTTACGTTCCATGAAAAGGCGCGCCCACTGTGGGGTTAAGAGGATCCGTCACCCTTTTTCTTCCCGTAGGAGTTGTAAGAGGTGATTGTTGGAAATTTTCATCCAATTATCGTCTTGTTTACGCCAGGCGTAAAACACCCAGACCGGCGACGAGGGGAAGCGTCAAAGGTAAGAGAGCCAGCCAGTCGTCAATCTAACTGTTTCGTGTGACGTTTATGGCTAATCCTCAATACCACGGAAGAGGTGCTTAACCAGCGGTGGACTTTTGCAGGCTGATGAAGAAGCCGAGGAAGAAAATGAATATAGGCCTCAATGCCTGTATACGATGGCGGGCGTTATGCAACAATCACAGCAATAAATAACACTTAGTGATTAAATAAACATTTTGAAGACTGAACATGTGATAGTGGTCTAGCAATAGTGGCTACACGATAGCTTATATAAAGCTGCAAGCACGCAAATATCGAGGAGGTCGGTTTCGTACTACTATGACTAAGAACGTTTAATAATAACTGCAGCGATGCCTTACCGCCAACATAAATTTTCTAGTTACACTGCGCGTTTGCTCTGCAGTTGGTGCCGCATGAAAAATGCCCGGATTATAACTGGGGAGCGATCTTCTGACCAGATAACAGCGCTAGATATAAATTATCACACAAACGCATGACTACACTAAAATTAAATAAGAACGCTTGTAATTCCCGTCGGTTCGATCTACCGCCCGAGTCATAAAATACACAATTTTGACAGATATAAAAATAACGACATCCGTGTGCGCCAGGAAATGCTTAGAAAAAGGTTTGCTCGTAGTCCGTCAAGATTCGTGTTCATAATTTCCATTGCGGCATACAAATAGCTATTCCTAGATGTAATTGTGACTCTTTTTATTTGTTGGTTTTATATACGAATAGTTATATATTACGCGGTAGCTTAAATCAATGACGTTGAAAACTGTTTACTTAAAGATTTGTTCTAAATAAATAATTATATACAAATAGGTTTATAGATATAGTACTTAAACATAGTCTCAGATTTAGTTATTCACAGGTTCTGGTCGTTTTGTAATGATTTTATAAATAATTTCGAAATTTAAATCTCTCAAACATTACGTTTTACTGCTTTTACTACTTTTCATAATCTAACAATTTACTTTATCTTATAATTCGATGTTTTCATAGCGAAACATTTTGATATTGAGTCGTTTATATTTATATTTTTATTCAGGCGAAAATCAAAACTTTTTTTAAAGAAATTTTTTAAACAAGACATTTTTTAAACTCTTTTCTAATATTTTTATAATATTAAAATTTCTTTATAATTTAAGTTTGGAACTACAATATTTAAATCCTTGAGTTACGTTGTTAGATTAAATAGTTGGTTATATTTTTATTCAGGCGAAATGAAGACTAACATTTTTTAAACTCTTTCCTAATATTTTTTATAATATTAAAATTTCTTTATAATTTATGTTTGGAACTACACATTTATATCCTTGGGTTACGTTGTTAGATTAAATAGCTAAATTTTAAAATGTTCACCATTTTTATCTTAACATGATTTCGATAACAAGCAAAGTAAATTAATTTTATTAAATAAATCGCTATTATTTTAAACCTCATTTATTTAATAAATATATAATTATAATAATATACTGAATTTAATGAGAGCGGGTAGCGTGGCATTGTCAAGTCGACGGTAAAGCCCACTCTCGCCTCGCGTTCGAGATTTGCAAATGAGCAGTAGGAAAACTACTGGTGTGAGTAACTACATGTAGCCCTTCTGCAGGGTACTGGCAAATAATTGGTACTGTGAGATTTAGCTACGACGCGGCGTTCCACTGCAAAATGACGAACTGTATACTTTCTAAATAATTTTATTTGGAAGACCTCCAGTATTTTGAGAACGTTCTCTACCACTTTAATCTCGTTAATAACAATTTCAATGTTCCGTTTTCAGTTATATTTGATCATACATTAAAATTAAGAACAGTTTAATCGAATGCCTAGAGAGCGATTAAATTCCAAAATTGAACTGTCATAAGAAATAAATGATATCTTATAGAATGATCTTAAGATTTAAAATCTTTGGCATCGTCCCCTAATTAATCCAGAGACTTCCTTGCGTGAACTTCAATGAGGGGCTATAAAATATTTTCCTTTCCAACGATAAAACGTCTTTTTATTAAGTAATGTGCTGTTTTAAAGTAGTTGCAGTCACGATACGTATTAAAGCAGCGTGATATTAAGAAATTTTTATGATTGTAGTAAGATGTGGCGTTAAGTTGGTAAATTCGATAACATTATTAAATTCTTCTTTGACGATTTTAGACTATTAAAGCAGGGTCTAATTTCACGTCTGATCTTTAGTTCTGAAACCTAACAAATCTTGAAATCTCTATGTGTTTCGTGAATGTTTTTATATATTCACTTGCACCTTAATTAGTGGCAAGTGTAGCCTTAAAATAGTTATTCTTTGAAGTTAGTTAAATCGTGACTTCATGCGTAATTAAATTGTTTGTTCTTTGGCGCCATACGTCGCGGATCGTTTCACATTGTAAATCTTATTGGAGAAAAGATTAAAATTCTAGAGAATCGTTTGTTAGTGATGTTTTGTTAGAGCCTTTTCGCGGTTATTTAATTTACTGTTTCTCGGAAAATTAAGCAAAGCAAGCTGTTTAACAATGCTGGTTTTGTTCGTATATATTTAAAAATAAATTTAATTGCTTATTTGATAGAGTGTCGAATTGAGTATTATATAATTATTGTTGACAATTATTGCCAAAAACAAAAAAAAATTAATCATTTTCTGTATTTTAAGCTACATTACATATTCTTATGTTTCAAAAGTTAAATCATCATCATCATTACAGCCCTTCACAAGTTCACTGCTGAACATAGGCCTCCCCCAAGGAATGTCACAAAGCACGGTCATGAGCCACCTGCATCCATCATATATGGCCGGACCATTGCCACTTCAGCTTACTAATCCGTTGGGCTATGTCGGTCACTCTGGTTCTACTGCGGATATCCTCAGCAGTGAAGGACCACGTCTCACATCCATAAATCATCACTGACAGCACGTACTGGTTGTACAATCTAGTTTTCAGGTCTTGAGGTATACCTGTAATTTTCCGAATCCTGCCCAGCCGAGTTGAATCCGTCGATTGACCTCTGGGTCGAAGTGAAGCTTACCTAGTCGGACTATTTGTACCAGGTAAACGTACTCGTCAACAACTTCGAGCTTAGTGCTCCCAACAGCTACCGCTATAGGTGTCACACCTTAAACATGATCTTTGTTTTGTCCATGTTCATTTTAAGACATTATCCATGTACATCTTAAGACAGGTCCTCCAGCGATTCTGCCATAAGGATAATGAATTTCGGGGATATAACGTCACCCTGTCTTACACCTTTCTGCAGTTGGATAGGTTTCTTACTCTGGTTCTGTACTCGGATAGCTATCGTAGCCCTACTGTACAAACACTTCAGCACTTCGATATACCGACAGTCAAATTGGCACCGCTGAAGGGACTGTAGCACCGGCCAAATTTCGACGAAATTAAGGCTTTTTCATAGTCGACATACGCAAGGCAAAGTATCAGATTGTACTCTTCGGTCTTCTGTATAATCTGCCGAAGGGTATGTATGTGGTCTATGGTACTAAAGCCTTTTCGGAAACCGGCTTGTTCGGAAGGCTGAAAGTCGTGGATACTGCGTGCGAGACGATTCGTAATGACTCTCGAGAACAGTTAAATGATTTGTTAAAAAGGGGTAATGATAAAAAGTCTTAACTTTGATAACGTCTGCAGAATTTTTGTCGTATACCTTTTCAATATACATATATAAAAGCAGTAGTCTTTAAAACATATTAGACCACCCAGGAAACATCCTAATAAGGTCAGGACCTTAGAGTATTTATAATAGCTTGCTATTTATATAACAAGTTGGCGCCATCGAGCGGCGAATCTTTTAGAGCAGTAGTTATGGTGAAAACAAACATATTTTACCAAATAGCAAGAAACTCCCGTACCGTCGGTCGGCAGAAATGCCTTGTAATATGAAGACGCCCACAGATCATGCGGTTTTAGGTGTAAAAAAATCGATTAAAGCATGGCGACACGCTGCGTTCGATACATGATAATATTTCATTTCGCTCGTGACGGGTCAGCCGTGGATTTTTATATTTTTGTAAAATTCAATTAAATGTTACGGCGGAATAACTGTGACGTATCATTTTACATCGACGCCAATGTTTTTATGGATACAGTTTATATTAGCTGGAAAGATATTAGATGCTGGAATGCTATAAAACTACAACGCAAATAAAATTTACTGTCGTTATCTACAGGTTATGCATGCACTTAATTTCGACTATTTTAACCGTTTAGGGTCTTATAATTTCACCAACTTTAATACATTGGTTGTGTATAAATTAACCGTTGATTTGTTATTTTCAGATTTATGAACGCTGTTGACACATTCTTAGAAGATAATGATGGTAAGTGAATTTCTCTTCATTGCATTGGTCCGTAATCATAATTTGATCAAATTAAAAGTATTTATCTGTTGATCATAAACACTCTTTTTTGTGATTGGTCCTTTGCATATAGTGACTTGGTTTGCACAAAAGTATTTTCTGTTGTGTTTTGTTTTTGTGTTGTTCAGATATTTCCTTCGCTCTTGCGACACCTTCATAAGTGAGGACAGTGAAAAATGTTTATACAAGGATAATTATAGCTGCATAAAAATTACGCCAAGAAATACAAGTTGATTGAGCGGGCGGCGAATTTACCATTCTTAAGATTAACAGATTTAAAATATCTATTTTATACCTATTATCTAAATCAAGAGCGAGAGGCTCGATCGTCAACCCGCCTACCATATACCGGGTCATTTTGCAATAACTAGCCAAATTTGTAGAGAAGGTCCAGAATAAGTAATATAATCAAATGGTTAAGAAAAATTAATTTAAAAAATCTCCAACATTCTGTTCTTTTTATCTTTCTCTAGCACATTCTTTAGCGCACGCACACATTCGTAAGGGTTGATCGGTAGGCAAAAACGTTATTGCTCATAAATCACAAGCCTTATTTACTCGTATTTTCAAAAACTGCAATAACGGTATATCATTATATATATATTTGAACTTCAGTTTAAAATTTGGATACTCTTGGAAAATAGCCCTATATAGTGATTACACCTAATTGTTCCCAAATGGCATTTTATATGTATTTTTATTTGTACATTTGTTAATATCCTGTAGTTGGTAGGGATATTTTTTTTATTCAAGACGGGGTGAACAAGCACGCGACTCAGCTTATGGATGTTAAATGTCGATAAGTGCCCATGAACAACATCAGAGAAATTACAGTTGCGTTGCCGGTCTTTTCAAAAGGAATAAGGTCATTTACGAAGGTCCCTAAGTTGTTTCCTCCCCGTGGTAAATGCAATAGAAAATGCAAAAGGACGCAACCTTTCGCAGCGCCACTGGATTCAGCCGATCAAAAAGAACTTAAGCGACAGTAGCCTAATGGCAGGGCGCGGACCGCGAACTCAAAAAGGTCGTGGATTCGAATCCGCCATTCAGCTACTGGCGTGAACCACTCGTAACACAAGCAATTTAAGCTTACCACGAGTGGTTAAGGGGAATATTAGTAATGTTTATAGCATTGTTAATATTCTTTTTCAAAAAAAAACTCGGTCTTCGATGATTCGAGTCGATTTGCGCCTAACTTTTTAGAGGCCAATTTAGCGATTTTTTCAAGTAGCAGTGGAACAGTATGTTATTCGACATGTCAACTCCGAGGATTCCAGTGCTGGCTGAGACAGCATGGAGTGTGCTCAGAAATTGAGGAGATACGTCAAAGGGGTTCTTTTTAACTATCAACGCGTAAAGATTTACTCCTGTGCCTTGAGAAGGTTAAATTGGGCTAGTCCCCAATCCGAGGCTTTTTTGTTTTTTTTTTTTATAGGATAGGGTGACGAACGAGCACACAGTCCACCTGATGGTAAGTGGTTGCTGTGGCCCATAGACATCTACATCTATCCTCAATTACGAATCAAAATGCAGATGCGTTGTCACCCGTGAGGACTAAGATGGAATGCCTCGTTTCCAGTAAAAAGGGTCTCCGGTTCTCTACACTCACCATACGAAACACAGCAACATTAAGCTACTATTTCACGCTGGTATTCTATGAGAGCGTGGTCCTTCCCCGGTCGAGCCGACCCATTCGTGCTACAACTATACATCTAATATAACTGTAGCATGGCTCTACCACGTATAAAATTCGTCTTTGTTTAACAAAGACTCGACTTCAGACACAAATTTTTTTCGGTACTCCGCCACGCTTCCCGAGAAATATTGGCATAATCTTATTGTTAAAAGCATCTACAGTGCTGTCGTCCTCAAAGTAAATTAATTGTTATGCGTTGGTTTGCAAGAAAACTTAAAAAAAACATCATAGGTGCATTGATTAAAACTACTTTTACGGATTTTATCGCGTTTTATTTGTATTAATTTTACGACGAGAAGCATCAACGTTCCGGGAAGTCTGCAGTTTGCGATCATATTCTAGATAGCCCCAACCATTACATCAGATTTGATAGACCACAAATCCTCGCGAAAGAACATCGATTCCTACCAAGGATGATACGTGTGGCTATTGAAATTAAAAAACATCCTAATTTCAATAGAGAAGGAGGCTGGGTACTACCACCTGCTTGGGATCCTATAATTAATAAAATTAAAACTAAACCCAAGCATACCACTGCAAGACTTCAAAATACAGTTAGTTCATTCTGCGTAGATCGGACCAAAGACAATAATTAAAAAGCTGATGGTACTCCGGGTTAACTTTGACATCGGGACGTCAGTCACCTCAGACCCCGTGACCATGGGTGCTGGAAAGCACCCGAAACGTCGGGTATTAAAATTAATATAAATAAAACGCGATAAAATCCGTAAAAGTAGTTTTAATCAATGTATTATAGTGTTCGCGTAAATATAAGAAATCATTATCGTAGGTGCATGTAGCATTGTATAACACCAGCATTTATAGGCTTGTAGTTTGAGCATGCACAGTCTGCTAAGACCTTGATGTTCCAATCTGCAAGAAAACTGGTCTCGAGAAGCCCATAGGAAAGAAAAGAGATATTTCAATGTTTAATTTATATTGAGATGTTATTTGATATATATATATATATATATATATATATATATATATATATATATAGACCCACGCAGCTTCGCTCGCGCGACATCTAAATAATAGCAATGCTATTTATACAGGAGTGGAGTGAGCTTACGGCCTAAGCTATGTAGCTTCGGCTGATGTCCAAGTGTTACTTTGAAACTTCCACTCTTTATAATATTAGAAGAGATGTAATGTTATAAACATTGTCAACTACAGATAACTGCTCATATAATTCCGTTTTCCCTTACTGATGTTCGCGACGGATCAAATCCTTTTTTCCTGGAAAAGTAACTTGCATCTCTATTTTTAATATTAACGCATAAAAAATGTAACAAACGAACAAAAATATACACTTTCGCATATCTATATTATGAGTTAGGAACTAGTTCGGATTGCGTTGTTGTTACTTGAAGACATAATTTACTTAGATTCAAATCATTTCATATAACTCGGGTAAAATTTTTGTAGATCTGTGAATGTCGAGTTGTTTAGAAATTTTATGCTTAAATTCTAAAGCATATCAACACTAAAATATCGTGAGTCTTTTATTTATGAACACTTACCGTTCATTCCGTGTGTTTATTGTATGTTTGTCAGTTATAAATATATCCGGACAGATTGCCTAAAGTAAATAGTATCTACAAAATTGAACTATCAGTGTTATTGGTACTTATGGTACTTTCATATTTAGTTACACGGCAGTGTGTCCGTTAAGTTCGGAAAAGACAAATGGTAAAATTATTTTTTTCTTACAATCGACTTCAATATACATAAAATGAGAACAGCATCAATGCAGTCGAAATCAATTACTCATTGTTAAGGATAACTCAAAAAGTACTGGTCAAATCTTAATCAAATGGGTTCACATGAGGAGCACCAGCTTTCAAATAAAAAAAATTCATTAAATCGGTTCACCTAGAAAAAAGTTCTGAGGTAACACGTGAAAAAAAATTCTGTCGAATTGAAAACCTGCTCCTTTTTTTAAGTCGGTTGAAAAGGGCGCCTGCAGTGTCTATTTTTACGTGAAACATTTTGAGATACTTTTAAATAATTTTAGACCTGCATACTTGTTATTTTGCATAGCTAATAAGGTCTTGAATATATAGAATTTCAAATTTCGTGATAAAATCATTCAAGTTCTGGAGTCAGTAATACCCGTTAAGTGCCATTTTTGTAACTCACTTTCTACTCATATAAAAACCTCGTCTACCGAAAGAACATTTTAAGAGAACTAAGGAATATCTTAAGTGTAAGGTAATTAGTAGCCAAATAACTTGTTGCATAAAAAATAATTATTTAGAGCTATAATTTAATTTAATAAAATAAGAATCATTAAAAACGGATGAGCCGTTTCGGAGAAACCGGTGAACATCATTAAAATTAGATGCACGTGTATGGAATATAGAACCTTCTCGTGTTTTAAACTCGGTTAAATAAGTACGTAAGCTAGTTATCATTTGTTTGGTGCACAGTTTTATTTATACTTATAATGTGTTGGACCAGGTTGCATTTTGCGTCATCAACCACTTATACGTCAAGGGATTCATGTCGAAGGTTTATCAATGTCTCTGGACACAACATACGATTTCAATTAAAGATTTTTTTTTCATTTAAAACTAGGAAAGAGCCACGTGTTAACTTGTAGTGACCCCTCCTTGTACCACCGAATCAACTCTTAACGCATCGTTGGAAGAGAATAGAAGCAGGAGGGGGAGATCTATTTAAACTGGAAAGTTCGATAGTCAAAGCAATCAAAACGGTCCGGGCCGCACGTCCAAGTTTATCGGCAGCTACACTTTTAATTACAGTGACACAAATCGTAGTTATCATCTGACTTCTCACGGTGCCGAACTCAATATTCTAAATGTTCATTAAGTTCTAATTACGATTGGTTGCCCTTGTTTGTCTTGACCAACGAAACTAGCTTTTATTAGATTACGTGGGTAGTTTTCAATTAATTGTGAGCATACTGGTATCTGTCGGCATTTTCATTGGTAACGTCCGGTTATCGGTGTCATCGAGTAGATTTAGTGAGATGTATATAAAGCAAGACTGGTTTTCTTGGGTTAGCGCCAGTCTTCAAGAATATGGGACGATTTGTTCAGAATGATCTATTTCAAAAATAATTTGACGTCATTTTATTTAACTGTTACTGTCTGTCTAATTATTTAATAGCTTTTGTAATGCTCTACTTCATACAATTTACCGTATGATTTCTGTTGATTATGAAGATTGTTCAATTTAATAGATGTTTTGTAACTACTTATATTTTATAAAAATTTAAGTTGTTTGTTGAAGCGTGTCG